TTGCTAGTATGGCTAGTCTTGCTAACCAACTTCCTTTGGGGATCATTTATCTCTGTATTTTATATCTCTGTAGTAGCAGATGGGTTACTACATCCACCCAACATTTATTTGGATTCCTAGGATACAAACTCTGGTCTTTATACTTGTGGGACAAGCACTTTAACCACTGAGCCATCTCCCAAGCCCAATTTCCTGGCCTTTGTATCTGTTGACCTATGTATTTCTATGTTTCTATATATCTATGTATATATCTAAAAGCAGTTGAAAGATAATTTCTTTGCATTTCTTTAAATGTTTACTAAGTATAATAAAATATATTTCAATTATACAATATAAAATTTTGTGATTGTACAACTTAGATTATGCATGCCAGATTGCTTATGATGTAATGGCACACAGCACTTTACTGGAGAAAGACCAGTTACTTTTTGTGACTATTGTTGATGAGAAATGCTGTTTTCATCTGTTGTACATTCTTCCTTTCTCCTAGAATCCTGATCTTATTGAGGGATTCATCCAGTTAAAGACTTCTCTTATAGGAAGTGGTGAACATTTACTGCAGTTCCAAGGAATGAGATACAAATCGGGCATTTAAGTTGCTATTGACAGGAGCTCAAGCTTGCAGAAGCTCAAGGAGGAAAGGCTTCCAGTTTGAGGGTGCAGTCCATCATGGTGGGGAAGGCATGGCAGCAGGGGGATAAATCAGTTGGTCACATTGTGTACTCAGATAGCAGAGAGAGATTAATGCTAGGCCTTATTGTTTATTTAATCTGGGACTCCAGCCTGTGAGATGATTTCACCCATATTGAGGGTGGGCCTTCTCATTTAATTCCCTTATAATTCCCTTACAGATAGGCCAAGAAGTGTGTCTTTTAGGTGATTCCAAGTCCAGTGACATGAAGACAGAGCATCAGACCCTGGCTTAAAGGGGCCTCTGAGCTAATTCATTGCCTTTTCCCTCATCTCCTTTCCTTTGCCCTCTGCCCTCTCCTTCCCAGATGTCCAGAGCTAGGGAGATCATTTTGCAACTGCTAGGGCAAGGTTGAAACACAGCAGCTGTGACCCTGACAGCTATGATCTCCTGTAGTCGCTTACCCTTGAACTTTCCTACATTGGGAAACAATTAAGGCCCATGGTGCACTCTTGAAGCCCTGTGTACCTGGATTTTTTCTAAGTACAGCAAGGAGTAAGCCCGAGTCTCCTTCCAGGAAGATCCCTGTGCTTCTTCTCACTGTTTCTGGTTTTTGCTTGTGGGCACACTGAACACAAAAGTGTGTGCAGTCCTGCTCCAGTTCCTGACTATACTTTTGGATTTCCTTGAAGCCAGAGTTACACAATCAAGGAGTTCTTGCATCCCTTTGTTTTTGTTTGAAGTAGAATGGAATTTGGAATGATGATGTGTGGTGAAGCAGAGTCCTTTGTAGTTATGGCAACTGAGAACCTAGTTTTAGATAAGCTTTATAAGAATTGCTTTCTACACTACTAAAGTTGTAGAAGAAAGATGGAGTGGGGTTTGGCATTCTCGGTCAGTATTACTTTAAAGTAAAATATATTTCGTTTTTGCTCATTAGCCAATGTTATTTGCTTTGTTTTTTCTTAACATTTATATTTTAAAAGTCTTTTTGTGTGTTTTAATTGTTTTCTATTCTGATTACAGACAACAATGCTTAGGTACATGAATTGCTAATTATAAAGTGCTATTTTATAACTTTACATGCTTTCAAGTTTATTACTTTTAGTATTCTTTACTGAAGTAATAAGAGGCAAGAATCTGTGTTACATGAAGTTTTGTCTAAAAACACTACTTGGTTGATCAGGCCTACCATGCTCAGTTTGCCCTTCCATATTTCCTGCTCTTTCCTTTTCTTTTCTTAGGTTGTTAGGATCAGCTCTGCCCTCCCAGTTTGCCCTCTCTCTTTCCTTTTCTTTTGTTTACTCTCTGACTCACTCATTCCTAAGAAAACTTTTAGTCTCTAAATATTATGATTTCATTATTTAGTAAATCTACCAGTCACCATCATATATGTTTATGGTGTATCATATCATATCCTGCCATCACATGGATGTCACCTCACTTCTCTGTGGTAAGATGACCTTGAGGTCCATGCTATTGACTGCAGTCTTTGCTGGTGCAGCAGATCACTAGAAGTCACTCCTTTTGTGTCATTGAAACTTGGTTCTGGGCAACATGTCCTATTTCTTCCTCCTTTCTGTGGTGTCTGGTAGCTGCCACTGTCCTCTCTGTTCCATGAATTTGACTTAGTCAGATTTTACACATGAGTGAGACCATGCATCTTCCTGCACTTTCTTATTTCCTTTAACCAGTATATGTGTGTCTGGATCTCATATTTTGACTACTGTGAGTAACACTTCAATAAATATGGGAGTACAAATATCTTCAGCATTTCAATTTCGGTTACTATGGATAAATACAGTAATTGTACTGCCGGATCAAGTGATAGCTCTGCTTTTGGTTGTTTAGAAAGCCCTATAGTGTCTTCTCCAAGTGCTATGCTAATTTGCATTCCCACCAACACTCTCAGAAATTCCTTTTATTTTGCTTTCTTCTTGGCACTGTGTTTATTTTTTGAGTAATAATCATTCTGATGGTTATAAGATGTTAATTATGATTTTAATTTGTATTTATCTAATGGTCAGTCATATTGAACATTCTTTTCATGAATCTGTTTGCCATTTGGATGTTCAAGCCTTTGGTCTGGTTTTCAATGTCTGGGTTCCCTTGCTGTGTTCTGATGTTGATCCTTTATAAAATACACTCCATCCACTGTCTGTCTCATCACTGAATTTTCATGGTAGCTGTAGAGAAACTTTTGCTCTCATGTCTTTTGTTGCTTGTTAACTGTTCATGTTGTTGCTCTACCAAGAAATCTTTGCTAAGACTAATGCCAAGAAACTTTGCCAGCATATTTGCTCCTATAGTTTTACAGTGTGGGATATAATGTTTAAATCCCTCCCCCATTTTGAGGTTTGTGTGTATTGTGTGAAAGAATCCACTTCCACCCTCTTCAGGTAGACAAGCAATTTTCCAAACACCATTTTTTGAAGAAATTTCTATTTGTGAGATCATGGCATGCATGTGGAAAATCAGCTGACTGGGGGGCCATGTTCATTTCTAGACTCATTCCAGTGTGGTCAGTGAGTCTGATTTTATGTCAATGTTACAGTTTTGATTACTGTAGTTTCAATGAATATCTCGATGTCAGGTAGTATCATGACTTCAGCTTTGTTCATTTTGCTCAAGATTGCTTAGGCTACCAGGTTTCTTTGTATGATCTTTTGCAAATTTTAGGTTTGTTCTATCCAGTTCTGTGAAAAATGATACTGGAATTTGATAAGGGCTCTACTGAATCTGTGGATTGCTTTGGTTTGTGTGGACATTTGGAAAGTATTAATTATTCTAACCAAAGAGCCCAGGATAGCTTAATACTGAATTGTTTTAATTAGTTTCTTTTATCAGCATTTTATAGTTCTGATGCATATATTATTTAGCTGTTTGTTTAAAATTATACCTAATCATTAGATTTTGTTAGCATGATAAGTGGAGTTATTTTCTTAAATTCTTTTGTTGGTGACAGGTAACAACACTTCTGTTATTGGACTGCTGCTTTGTATTAGTCAACTTCATTGAATTCATGTGTTAGTTCTGACAGCTTTTAACGACGTCTTCAGGGTTTTCTATTTGCAATATCAGTGATGATTTCATTTGCCTCGGCAAGCCTTTGCTCTAAGTAGGACTTCCAGAACTATCAATGATATTCGATGCTATATGGAAAACAATATATTTATTTACCAGAGAGAGAGTCGCACAAACCAGGAGTTAGAAGCGTGGCTGGCTTCCAGGAGAAAAAGGGAGGTTCCTTTTCCTTTCACTTCCTTTTATATCTACCTGTGTCAGTTTACATGTCCCCGCCCTCATGGGCGGATAGCTTTGTGGGGTTCACTCCTACACAGAACTGTGGAGAAAATGGTGAAAGTAGATATCCTTGTGTAGAACCTTCTCTTAGAGGAAGAGAACTTTCAGCTTTTCACGATTAAATATGATGCTGATTTGGGCTTATTAATCTTGTTATTGCATTGCAGCATATTCTTTCTATGTCTAACTTGTCAAGAGTTTCTTTTTTCATATATTTCTTATTTAACTTTTTATGCATGTCACTTTCAATTCCCTTTCCCTCCCCTCCTCTCCCACCCCTCAATCCTCCCTACCTCTCACCCCTACTCCATCCCCCCTCCACTCCCCAGGGAGGGCAAGGGCCTCCATGAGGGATTTTCAGGGTCTGTCACATCATCCCAGAAAGGGCCCAGGTTCTTCGCCATGTGTGCAGGCTGAGAGAGCATCCCTCCATGTGGTATGGGTTCCTAGAGTCCCGCTATATGCCAGGAATAAATACTGCTCCACTCTCCCGGGTCCCACAGATTGCCAAGGCCTCCTCTCTGTCACCCAGGTTTGGTGGGAGGGTGTCTGGATCATTCCCATGCTAGCCCCTCAGTCATCAGTCTGGGGTCCATGTGTTCCCCCTTTTTTAAGGTCAGAAAAGGCTGACTTTCAAGAGATACTGGTGGCAGCACATTGCTGTAGTCCTGGTAATGGGAAGCTGAAGAAGGGGACCTTGGATTCCAGGCCTAGCTAGGCTAAATATGGAAAAACCACATCTCTAAAAGAAAAAAAAAGAATGAATTATGAATTTTGTCTAATGATTTTCCTAGAAGTATTATGGTGATTACATAGATTGTTCTCTTTATTTCATTAATGTAGTATATGTTATTGTTGTTATAACATTAGAACATAGACATTTGCCAATTTCAATTCCCGTCTTGGAATTACTACAATGTACTAAAATAAATTGGCATGTTTCACTATTTTATTAACCTTACTTCATCACTGATTATTGAGGTGTTTAAAGTCTGGAATTTTAAAGGATGAAAAAATTTAAGATTTGAAGTACAAGTTTTTAAAAATTTGTTTGCCAACTTCACAGATGGAAAAGGTGGAGGCAGACCTAACTAGATCCAAGTCTCTTCGTGAGAAGCAGTCCAAGGAGTTCCTTTGGCAGCTAGAAGACGTCAAGCAGAGATATGAACAGCAGGTCAGCCTTTCATTTTCAGAATACCAGTTAATTTTTAATAGGAATATACCTCTCTCTTAATCATATCCACTTATCACAGAATCTCTAAAACAAAAATATGACCACTTTATATGAAATATTTAAAATAACATATTGTAAGAAACCCACACACAAGAGTTTTAATATTCTACGGAAGCCTATTCTGATGGTTCGTTATTCCGAATATTTAATTGAAAACTTAATTGCAATTCTTGATTCCCTCTAGCCCTAAGATGACTTGCCCATTCATTTACAAGGTAGTACTGGGTACCTGCATGTGCGAGCCTCTGCTAACAGCACTGGCAATTGGCAAGGAGGCGGGTCACTTTGCTGATAAACTCTAGATCTTGGTAGACAGTGAATACATGAATAAGAGTTGAATTGAGGCCGCGTGTTGGTGGTGCACGCCTTTAATCCCAGAACTCAGGAGACAGAGGCAGGTGGATCTCTGTGAGTTCAAGGCCAGCCTGGTCTGCAGAGCGAGTTCCAGGACATCCTCCAAAACAATACAAAGAAACTCTGTCTTGAAAAAACAAAAAGAGTTGAATTGATTCTGGAAAGTGAGTTTAGGGAGAAAAAGAGCAGAGCAGGGCAGGAGTCTGGTTATCAGCATGGACAGATCAGTGATCAGGGAAGCCTGAGTCCCCTGCTGAGAGGCCTCTGGAACAATGAGGGAACTTCCAAGACATCTGTGAGACAGAGCATCCTAGTCAGACCGAACAGCAAGTTACAAGACCCCAAGAAGTGAGTAAGCTCAGAGGAACAAAACTGATGTAAGGTCAGAATAGGCACAATGTAGGAGAAGGTTCCAAGCTCTGGGAGCAGGGAAATAGACCTGAACTGTAATGGAAGGATTTCAGATTTTAAAAGTCAAAAGTCCTCTTTTTAAAGCTCTCCCAGAATATTTAACTACTATTAATTTTTTATTTCTCTAATTTGCTTGTTCTTAATATCTGGAAAGTAATTAATTGGATTTGTAGCACAGGTTAATTTTATTTCTAAAGATATTTAAATCTTTGAAATCATGAAATAAGAATAATTTTAAATTATACTTTAAGCTCCATTAAGCAGGTACTATATCAAAACTAATTAATCCCTTATGATCATTGGATTTTATTTCCTCTACTTATTGATAGCAATTAGTGGTTTACTTGAATTCAGTAAAAAGCAAGCCTGATCTGGTGTGTGTCCTGAGGGTTGTTGTTTTAATCTTAATATATTAGTGAAAATAATTGCCTAAGTTACTTCCATAGGGATGGAGTAATCACATATAGTTTAAAAGAGAGTGAACTGGTATTTCTTGTTTAAAATTTGACAATCTTGCTTTGTTCTGAACAGGCAACTCATGCCCACCCTGTGAGATCTAACCTGTGCTCAAGGCTTTTATCAGACATGCATTATTTTTTGTTGTTGTTATTTTCTGGAATCTAGTATATCATTTTGGACCCTAAATCTGTTCTTTGTTGAAAATTGTCTCATAAGTCTATATTATTAATACTAGTTGTACAATGAGCTCCTCAGAATCCCAAGCTAAATTGTGTATTAGAGTAGTAAGAACAGTGAAATAAGAGAACTGCATCAAGTGGAAGACAAGAGGAGGGGAACCTCCCCTAACAAGTATTTACACATGTGTGTAAAAGATGTGTGTGTGTGTGTGTGTGTGTAGATTATTTGGAGTAATGGAAAGTTGCAAATAAAATCAATTACACTTAATCTATCTGATGCAGTACAATGTCAAGCATGCAGACTTATAAGCTACATTGATAAGAGGAATAAATTACATTTTAGGACACTTTGTAGATTATCTCAGTTTTATGAAATTAAAGGATATGTATTAATTTCATGCAGTTAGATATATAAATTCAGCAAAAAGTTTTGAAAAGCTTCACATTCTATCATGTGAACACAGATTTGTATGTTAGGAGTGTAATGAATGCAGACTTTGACATCATGTCCTAGGTATCCCATTTTACTTGATATTAACAAATCAGCATGTGTATTACATAAATACTTAAAACATTAAACTATTAATGCCAAGAAACTATAGAAAATATAGAACATTTATCTTACATTTTAAGTGATAAATGTATATTAATTAAATAGAAAATAAATTCAAATCATACACACTCACACACACATACACACATAGACACACACACACACACATACACACACACATTATATAAATAAGTATGAAAGCCTGAAAAGAGAAGATAAAGCATTAGTGGTTGTTTTCAAAGGTGCCAAAATCTGGGTAACATGGTATTTATTTTCTAACTGTAAGATTCAGTACAAAGGGTTATTTTTAAATCAGATTTTTAAAAGAGAATTTGCATAATAGAAGATGGCTTTGCTAATTTCTGATTATTTTATAATGGATCTAAAAGTCATTTGGAGGCATACCAACTTAATAATCTGTATTTCTGCTGGAATATGCTTGGCCTACTGAGCAATGGAGGATACTTTCCATAACCCTAATGCTGTAAGAGAGGCTTCTTGGGAAAATAGCACTGCAAATGGAGTATGGAATATTATATTAAGAACTAGAATCTGGGATGGATTGCAGGGTGATAGAAAGAAGTAGGGGATGGGAATATGCAACATACATTTTAGGAGAATATTTGTTAATGTGATAACATTAAAAACTTTAAAATATTTTCTTATCAGACAATTTTATTGATTAGAACAATATTATCCAGAAGCCATTCCACACATTCCAGGTTTTTACTGAGAAAGCTTATCTTGAGAAATGATAGTACGTTAGTGACTGCACATGTCAGTATGAGCATGCCCAAGACTAACCCAACTAAACCAAGTTCATTTCCCACTTTGACCCAGGTATCCCTGTAGATACTTAAGGAAAGGGGAGTAGAGGTAGCCTCTCCGCTATGTGACAAGGGACGTCGTGAAGGCACTATGAAAAACTTCTCAGTTAAGTGACAGTTTACAGAGCCATCTGTAAATGGTTTGTGTCAAACTGAACAGAGACAGTTAAGTGTCTTTTAGTCACTAATGGTGATTTAAAATCAAGCTTCGTGGAGTTAAGAATTCAGACAGGGAGTTAATATGTAGGATAAAAACCCCTGAATTTTCTGGTGTTTCAAATAGGCTGAAATTAAGTAGATTATTTACTGGGATTAAACATAAACTGCTATGCTTTGATTTAAAATATCAGCTGCAAAAATTTGAGGGTAAGCCAGGGGAAAGATGACAGAAAAAGTCAGACCAGGGAAACATACTGACCAGGACCATAAGACGGTAGACTAGGACATTTATGACCCCAGTCTGTCTATGTCTTATGTCACATAAGCAGTAAAAATTCAGGTCATATTTATGCAAGACACTGACAAACTTGAACATAGGATTTAGCAAGGTGTGGAATTATGTCAGAGGGAACATGTAAGTAATAGATTATCTCACCAAAAAAAGGACAAAACTAAAGAGAATTGAGTATCTTCTTCCATTTCTACTGTAGGCCACAGCTCTTAGGACCTCTCTTGGACGGAGCACTGCTGTCTACATGTTCTGTCTTCATGTTCGTCTGCATGTCTGTCTTCATAGTGCATCTCTTTCATTTCCCCTAGCTTCTAGGTATAGAATGCAAGTCATGTCCAGTTCTATCACCAGCTGTAGTTCCATGCTAAGTAGGTAAGAGACCAACACTAGAACCTGAGTTGTTCCTGTAAGTTCCTCTCTAAACACACTGTAGAGTTCCTGGAGCAGAAGTGGAACCCAGATGTATTGGTTGTTTCAAGGTGATTCGCCAATGGAGTACTATATAATGTGCACTGTTAAGCCTATGAGATACTATTTTTGCCAGTGTTGAGCATGTTCAAGTATCTGTTGGGAAGATTGTGAGGGTATGTTGTGCATTTGCAGCTATCCCCTTTGAAGGTCCCTTCCATACTGAACATTCTGTGATTTTCTACTCATGTGGTCTCAGCTTCTCCATGAGAGATGTCCACTTGTCTTGTGCCATGATGGACTCTGTCATTAGATATCTGTCTCACCAGATTTTCTTATACAACACTTACACCTAGTTTCTCAGTTACCATTCATAGTAAGGTGTCACATGCTTTCTATTATTTTGTCTTCCTTTTCTCCAAAGGTAAACATTTAGACACTGAGATTATAGCACTTCCACCAAGGCCATGCTTCTCTCACTTATATTCTTCCTGAAGTGTTAGATTCACATGATTATTTTAACAGAAAGCATGTGGCTTCGCTATTGAGGTAATATTCATATTAAAACAGACTTTCCTGCTTTGTAAAGTGCAAAGTTCTCACAAATTTTAACATGAAATTGGACATTTGAAAGAAGCATTCAGTTTGCAGTCTGCTTAGGGCTATAGCCTCAGCCCCCCCCCCCCCTGGGGAGGGAGAACAAGTCATTTGCCTGCTGGGACACTCTTTGCTGGCAAAGTTTCAGAAGCACTTCCCAGTCAGTCCCTACATTTTATAATGAAGAAACTGACATTCAGAGGCAGTGAGAGACTTGTGCCCACTGGGCCTCAGTTTCCTTCTCCAGGCTTGTTGTTTGAGCCTCTCCCATATAGAAAACATCATGCTGGGAGCTGTAATTGTGTTGGAAAAGCAAAGAACAAATGTCTTGGGCCACGTGCAGGCACAGAGTGTACAGATGTGGAAGAGGAACTTCAAACACGCGGGACCAATTCTCACAAATATCCTGTGAAGCCCAAACTTCCATCAGGGTTTCCTGCTTCTTTCCTGTATAAGCCATTGGAACAGAAAGACAATTCTAATTGTACTTTCACAGACTTCATTCATGTTGGAAACAAACAGCCAGTGAGGCACGCTAGGATTTCCTGAACCATGGAAATGTGGTTTTGACAATTCTTTCTTATCTCTCGTTAATCTTCTATTTTATATCTTCCCTTTACACTACAAAGCCTTTAAAGAGAAAATGTTTTTCAGATAAATAAGTGGTCACAGCTTTCAGAAAGAATAAGTGTTTATTGTCA